AGTAAATGGGGCCCAAATGGGGCTCCCATTTACTGAAATACCATGAATTTCGATCCCCCATTCCAAACGTGAGTACTCCAGGCCATTTCCGTTACAATATTTTATTCATGTGCGCAAATGTCGGTTCATTCTTTATGCATATGATAATTTATAGTTTAAAATATCGTTTTGGCTCATGTTTAAAATTGCCAGTCTTAAATATTTTATTTTTGTGTAGTTTATTTTTATATTTTAACCTACTTTTGTATTTGAATGGTTTTAATTTAATACGTAAAGCAGTTTATTCTATAATCTACTATCTAACAAAACTACCAGTGATCGAAGAATCACACTTCACTGACTGTAATTTTGCATCAACATCAAATAGGGATAAGCGGCCTTCATGATTTTAATCAGAAACCAATTACATATTGATAGGAGATAATCGAAACCCTATAAAACTTACCGCTAAAGCAGTTTGCGTTGTCATCATTCCAAATGGGCCAATGGAAATAGTCAAACATTTCTGCAATTCCATTAATATTAAGCACAACCATTTTCTATCGTGCAAGTTCAAGTTATACCAGTCGAGTTCGCAAAGAACATCCGCTGTTCGGTTGCCAGCCAGCCCAAAGCGACAACTTGTATGACTAAAACGGAAAATTAAATCATAATAGAAAGAAAATCCGCTCCAGTTTGAACCTAAAAATTTGATTATTTGTTTAGGACAGTTTTTGGTTTTTTACGCAATAAATTGATGCTGATGTTGGTTTTTTCCATCCAACAGTACATTTGCTGCAGATATGTTTTGAGAGCGACTTACGCTGGTAAATTGGGTAGCGACTGAAGCAACATTAAAGGAGTTTACAAGAAACTCCACAAAAACCACGTACTTAGTTGATTTATTTAGGTTCTTGATGAATCTGAAAAATTATTCAATTAGTAACTAGCTCTTGTAACTCTATTTATTCTTGTTCCAAAACTTAATAAATTCTACGGAAAACCGCTTGTACTAAACCATCAAAATCGTAGATACAAAAGTACATACAGAGTGTCCACAGAGTACAGAGTGTTTATACAGACAAATTTCGACTAATTTGCGAACAGGATAATTTCAGGTTTCTGAAAACGATTTGATTTATGTTTGAAGCGCTATTTAGTGTAATTCTTTTTCGATTAGTGCGTGGTTTTGCAAAAAATTAGTATGCCAGATAGAGTGTCTACAGGATGGCAAATGAAACAGTGCAAAATTGATACAAGTTCCACATGATCTCAGTTGCACAAAAACCGTTTTTCGTTATTAAAACTTTAAAAAGTTGGTGGTCTTACAAAATTTTCTTTTTGGTAAGACAATAATTGTTGATAGGCGATCAGAAAAACAACTTGAACTTAGAAATTCAATAAATTGAGTATCATAGATGAACGAAATCCTTGAAACTGAACTTCACTTTAGATGTAAATTGACTAGAGACACAGATTTCGGGTATTTTTTCTGCGACTCCTAATGTTTATTTTTTATGTTGAAGTTTCAACAGCAACATGAGCTTCAGATCGTTAAGATCGGGCAAGGTGCAGAAACATTATCGCTGCAAGATCAAAAAATTGGAAAATTCAGAACTCGCTTCGAGCTGTTTGGTTTATTTTCAAACTTTTGTTGTTGAGATCTGAAACAGCTTAGTTGTTTTGGATCAACTTCAACTTGTGGGTCCATTAGAAAATTTATCTGAAGTGATTTTCGCGAAAACAACGAAAATCAAAGAACAAATAGCGCCAGATATTGCTTCAAACAGAAGCCAAATCGCTTGAAACAATCAGAATTTATCTACTTCCAAAATTAGGCAAAAGTTGGGTGTGTTAAAAACGTTCACTTGTTGAGCCGTTTAGATCTGGAGCCTGTTGGATCGATACAATAAAATTTTAGAGGCAACTGAACCGATCAGCGCAATTGGCATAAAATATGAACTAGGGTCTTTTTACGTAAAACTTCTCTTCAATTCTTTAAGAGCATAATTTGAAAAGTTAGAACCTTTCAGTGAATAACGATACCTACACGAACTGGTAGTATTTTGAGCAAACATAGTTTGTTTTACCTCCCAGACAAGGTCTGGAAGTCGTAGCATCATTAGAATACGGGTTTTCAATGATAATTATATGTCCTATCTGCAAAAATCTACCAGTTACCAGGTCAAAAAGTCGTATTGATAATTACCAAGTCATACTATCGTATCTGATTAAAAATATTTCAATTACGACATTCTGGCTTGGTATCTGTACTAAGTCGTAATGATCAAAAAGTCATATTGATAATTATTATTGAGTCTTTTTGCCGTATGACGTATATGCAAGTGTGGTTAGAGATATTATGGTTAGAGTTCGTTTATTAAGTGATATTATTACTGCGATTATTTTAGTGGTTGTGTTTATTAAGTTAGTTTCGAAAGTGTTATATAAGTTGTTTATATTTTAATATTCTGTTGATATACTGACTGAGAACAAGTCATTATTATCTTTATATTTAACTATTTCATAAGTGTTTTATCCGTGCCGGTTATTCTAGGGTTATGTGTTTTTCATGTATTTCTAGATGTGTGCTAGATCTAAAATGTTAATTTTACTAGCCCTAAACAGGAGTTAGCTCAAAAAATGTTCACGAATATCATAGAAACAACAACTCTATCCACAATATTGGTTAACCAAAAGATGTCAGAGGAAACTGACACCAACGGGAATCCAATAGTGAGACTCCATAATCCTACAACATTTTAATCTAATAATGAATGCAATAATAAACCAGCGTGAAATCACTGAGAGAGTCTGTCATGCCGATGACGCCCATAGCGGAGAATGAGGACGATTTATAACGGCTTCTACACTCATTCTATGTAATTGCAAAAATATTTTATATGCAAGTATCGACCAGAAAAACCAACGCGCTTGTCACTTCTAAAGAACCCATGAGATGTTTGGCAAATAAAACAATAGTACAAGTCATGTAGGTCGAATATCCAGGCATACAAATGACCGCAAGCCAAAATAGAACAAATGAAGTCAGAGAACAAGCCAACAAAGCAAGCCGAATCTCAGGTGCACTTCGAGAATTTATTTTGAATGGCACCAACATGAGGAAAAAGTTAAAAATTAAAAAAAATATTAAAATATATCAAACATGTGTTAGACCCATACTAACGTACGCTATATAAACAAGAGCTGATAACAATAGAAGAAGTCGGGAAGAAGTGTCGGGGTACACTCTAACAGACAGAAAAGGGTCTGAAATAGTACCGAGCGATGGAAGATCACAGACAAGAGGACCTCTCGGAAGACCTCCAATGAGATGAGAGGAGTCATGGACCTCAACATCTCAAGAGAACTAGGTTAAAAAATGCAGCCCTAAGGCGTACAATAAGAGGAAGAAGTAGATAAAGAAGAGCGACAGAACAGGTGTGGAGGAGGCGTCGACTGGACCTTATATCGCGAAGAAAGAAATAATTAAAGCAGCTAAACAGCTAAAAAACAGAAAAGTTGTTGGGGAAGGAAACATCCCAAGTGAAATAATAAAGACATTATTAGACAAGCAGATCGAAGTAGTGGAGAACCTATTTGACAAAATATATAAAGCTATATAACAAGCATAATATAAAATAATAATATAAAAATAAAATATATAACAAAAAAATATCGGTGTTTATACGACTACCAAAAAAACTTTGGGCAATGTGAAGAACACAGGATCATTAGCCTGATAAATCGTATGTTGAAGTTTGCCCTTCAAATAATACACAATAAATTGGACGATCGCACTGGTGAAATTAATTTTTTTTTGGTTTGGTTTCGGAACAAGAGCAGCATGTTTTTCAATACGTGTGTTAACTGATATCGATTCTGATATATGCCGATGTTTTATAAACTTTCAAAAGGCTTTCGCTCTGGTGAAACATGAGAAACTAATGGATGTTTTAATATCATGTCACATTTACAACAAATATTTATGGATCATTTCATCAATCAAAGCTTTATCAGCAACAAAAAGCTAAAGTCAGAATCAAAAGCTGTCTGGCAAAATTAATATCGAGTAGGGAGTAAGACAAGGCTGTGTTATTTCACTCCTACTGTTTAACGTTTATTTTGTGGATTGGAATTTGGAATAAAACCAAACACAGAGAAAACCAAAACGATGGCACAAGTGAACAACACATTTGAACACGGAAGACGGAAAATTCGGAATCAGTTTCAACTGAACAGAGCACTACTCTTTGGTGAGACAGGAGTGAGATCAAGAGGAAAGCGCTCGATGACTGGCAGGGAGGAATTACCATTGACCGCATAAAAATCTGCATCCTGCGCTACGCCGATGATACGACTCTAATCGCTACATCGGAAGAAGAATTCATCAATCGTATGCGAAGAGTTGAAGAAACAAGCAACGAGTAGGCCTGCAGATAAGCAGACAGAAAACCAAAATAATGATAATTGATCGCCAAAATAATAACAGACCTAAATGTAAAAAGGATACGCAATATCGAGACAGTTGACGATTTTATAGCTGTCTTGGGACAACAATCTCGAGCAAGCGCGGATCCAGCGAGGAGAAGAGCAATAGCGAAATAATTCATGACCAAGTAGTAGTAGTGCTTTTGTGAGGGAACCCGCAGGGTCTGGCGAGTAGGACTTGAAGGCACTTTTCACTATTTCTCCTCCATCCATTCCCACCTTACCACTCCTGATCGTCACCACCTAGGCAGAAAACCTGTCCCGTCTCCCGAAAAAAGGCAAGGATTTTCGATGCGGGAGAGTATGGAGGCCCCAAGAAGGCGCCTACTGGTAGACGTCCAGTGATGCCAGACTCCTAATAGGTAGTATGATGTTTCCTCCGCTACTTCACATTGTGGACACAGGGGGTATCACCAATTCCTAGTAGATGTAGGTGTATTGTTGTATTGTATGTTCAGGCCACATTCGCCTGTCATGACCCCAACCAGAGTTCTTAGGGCCCAGCGACTCCTTGACATCAACCATTTGGATGTTGTATTGGATCCACGTGGGGTCCCTATCAACTCTTTAGCTTGTGTACACCCTCCCGCCTTTCTCCACATCTGTGTCGTGCCTCTAAGCGCCCTGTCATTTAGCTCTGTAGCGGCCTCCTTGCGTTTCCACAGGGTTAGCTCAGGGAGTTCCAGGAGGATGTTTTTTTTTCCAGTGTCGTCCTCATTAGGGCGCCTTCCGTACAACATTAGTGCCCCGTAATCTTTTATTTTTAATCTCCTTGTAAAGAGCAAGATCTTCGTTTTGCTAGGATTAATTGATAATCCGGCATCGGTGCTTCTTCTCCTTCTGGTGCCTTGTATGTCTTCAGACATTAGTTTAGGAATTCATGAAATATTTCTCACAATATTACCACATTATTGTCTGATATTGCGTAGCCAGGACAGCATTTTTCGCACCATCATTGCAGATATTGGTTGTTCTGGACTTATCAAAAGCCACTTCCACGTCGAAGAAGTGGGCCAGTATCACTTGCTTATCTTGTTCTCCCTGTTCAGCTTTTTACACCAGAGCATGGCGAGCCGTATCTGTCGACCTTCCATTCCTGCATGCATGCCGCTTACTCTGTAGCGGAGTCCTGACGAGGACTTCCTTTGTTAGGTGCCTGTCTATCATCTTTTCCAACGATTTCATAAATAAAGACGTTAAACTTATGGGTCTGAATGATTTCGGCTCGGTGTAATCCTTTTTACCACGTACCGCCAATCATTAGGGACATATTTATTGCCACGCTAGCCCTGAAGATCCGTCGGAGTAACGGGAGTAAGACATCCAGTCCCGACTGCAGAATTTTTATAACGGTTGATTACTAATTATTCCGTGTGGACCTGCGGCTTTATATGAACCGAAATGCAAAACCGCCCATCCGATCAGTCAAAAGAGTAGTCATCGCTGACTACTCTTTTGACCAATGGTGGTTTAATCCCATTCGTTGGGACAGACCTTGACCTCCGAGCCCCCGGTGTTCCCGTCCTAAAAAGAGTTTCGCTAGGAGAAGTTGTAGGGTCTCCTTTCACCTTTTCGTCCAGATGCCATCGTCCTTCTCAAGAGATGTTCCAATATCGTTTTGCGATTTACCTGTGCTGAGGTAAGTCGACTGATCCATTACCAAACTAACCAAAGTAGAGAAAAGCGATCACATATCCCTTAAGACCAAAATGACACCGGTCAGGAGTTTGGTGTTTTCAGTCTTCTTGTATGTATCAGAACGCTGGACTTGCATCACAATGCTGAGCGTGTCCTAAACTGCTACTCCTGCTGACATCAGTGCTACCCCCGTAAACCCAGTGCTTAACAAAATTCCCCAATTCCATTTTCTTACATGCTTGATATCGGCTTGATATGTTGAGATTGATTCAGGATATTTTGAAAGCCAGATCTTTTTTTCTTCATCCAGAATGGCTTTGAGTATGTCAGAAACATTGCAGATTTGATATATAAGAAACTTGCTAAATATACAAGTACCAGACAGCAAAAATACTTGGCTTGAAATGATGTCCTCACTGTCAGCACCTGATTTAACAAATTCAACGAACTTGGCGACTACCGAGATGATAAATAGTACACCGAAGCCATGGAAAATGAGATTGTATTACCAGTAGATTCAACATAGAATCGCTCAACCACGAAAGCGCTAAGCCACTTTACTCAGATATATGCAAACAGCATATTGCTGATAATCCAATAGTGCAAAATGAAAATCCTAACGTAGCATGGAATAAACTGAAAGACATACAGGGTGTCTCGAAATTAGGTGGCCAAACTGGAACGGTGAAATCTGCTCCCGAAAATAATATTAATTTTTCAAATGAACAGGTATCGAAAAATGTTTCCTAACGGAGCTACGCCTTCTTGAAGAGGGGCGCAGTAGTAGAGTTTTTTTGCAAATTATTTCTAAACTTTAGTAAGTTTGATATGCTGAATCTACATCTGAAATTAAAACTGTCAGAATTTCATCATAGACGTATAATTTTGGTTAGTTTGGGTTAGAAGTAGAAAAAAAGCTCTAACTTTTTTCTGATACTATGAATCAGTCTTTTTTCTACAAATTGTGGAAACCTGAAGTATTTTACGAAGAAAAGAAACTTTTAATTTACTTCGCTCAGCCGCACCGATTTCCAACTAAATGACTTAAAACACAGGGTGTCCCGTAAGCTCATGATCAAAAGGGTACTGCGATATTCTTTGTACCAAAAGAAGACTTTGCAAGCGACTTAACTTTCATTAACAAAAAATGTCTGGCTCTTTGCTGTTGATGGTCAAAGTTCTCCAAAAAATTTATCTTTTTCGAAATACCGGGAGACTGGTACGATGTTCAACCGTTTTGGGCAAATGGTAAATTCCTGAGTGTCGTGGTACAAGAACTACCAGAACTTTTTAGTTGGAGGATAAAATCAACTCATTTTTTTTAGGTTGATGCACTAATCATTTGTCCACAATTTTGTGCTCATTATAAAACCTTGTAGCGTTCATAGTTTTTGTGTAAAAAAATATGTCTGTTTTCTCGTCACTTCCAACATGGAGTTAGCTGATATTCATTTCGTTTATGGTTAGAGTGTCAAAGGCGGTTTCCAACAAGCAGATTACCACATAGGAAATTATTTGGAACTGGACATTAATGGGGGAATTTAAGAGATCAAGGATCACTTAGACGCTCCCGAGGACAAGGACGACGTTTGGGTAACTATGCTTTAGACGGAGCGCTAAATATAATTTCATATAATCCTCAAATAGCAAAAGCTAGTGATTGTCTTCGTGTAATTTTTTTGATTATTAAAAAAAGGATGAAGGATAAAAAATAAAATATTGCACAAGGACATACAACACATGATTTAATTGAAACCATATTTTCAGATCGGAAGAATGACTCAAATGCAAATATTGCATCCTTTCCACTATAAAAAGTTACATAATTTAAGAGCCATCGATTTTCCAGCACCAACAGAAAATTATATATTTTAGGTCATCGGTTGTAGTCTGTTGTTGGGGTCAATATAAACCATTTATTTTTCAATAATTAATATTTATTCGAATCGAACAAAACCCTTAATTTATTTTTGCGTGCTATAATCGGTGTTGCATGCAATATTGTGCAATACACAATCATATTCAATTAGTAGCTAAATCAATAACTGAGGACAAAATGATGAAGGCAGATAAAATTTAAAATTTAATTGAAACTAAATCCCTAATTTTTCACACATTCTCGCTTCCCCCTCCAGACCAAGTGAATTAATTTTTCGATCTTAAGAGAATATATGAACTTAATGAACAGGTAAGGTTAGAAAAAGTTCAGTTGCTATGGGCCGAATTTACTGGGGTTCAGAGAGATTTAGAATTAATTGTTTCTTGTCACCACAGATTACTCAGACTATCAAATTGAATTTGGGAATGAGTTATTTAGCCCCACAGGTAAGGCCAAAGGTAAACTAGATCGGTATTTCATAGAAGTCTCTCAACAGGAACCTCCCCGCAGCACTCAGAGTGTTGATAACACCAAACTTTCGACAAATCTTAACGTCAATTTGCCTAAAATAAAGTTCCCAGAATTTCATGGTGCATTTGAGGCTAAGATTCAATTTGAAAACTCGTATAATTCTTCAATTTATAATAACCCATCATCTATCAACAACGTCGAAAAGTTTTGGTAGTTAAAATCTTGCACCAATTGAGATGCTGCTAATTCATTGACCTCCATCGAAGTTTCTGACGCTAATTATCATAAAGCATGGGATTTGTTAGGCAGTAAGTATCAAACCAATAAGATAATCATCCAAACTCATTGAAAAGCCATTTTTGAGTAAGAATACATTCATAAAGAAAATTATCTTTCTTTAAGAAACTTCACTAGTACAGTCACCCAACATTTAAGAGCATTGGAATTATTAGGCCTACCCGTTGAACATTGGTACACAGTTTTAAGTTCCCAATTGGCATCGAAACTTGACCAGGTCACCAGCAAAGAATGGGAAGACTTTCCCTCTTAATGAAAAACAGACACACCTTCATTCTGCCCGTGCGGGCTTTCTAGTCTCCCATCGCGCGCCTCCCCAAGTGGCGGATAGGGGAATGACTATCAGATATGGTGGGTACCGAGGAAATCAAATACTTGGGGCGTACCGAAACTAGCACCGTAGTATCTGATTCAAATTGAGCGGCTACAAACAGCGTCTGACCCAGATGACGCAAAAATTCGATAGATCCTAATAGAAAACACCAGATGAATACAGCAGAAATGTATGTAGCCACATATGATAAAAGAACGATGAAAACCGGAGAACACCTTAGTTAGATCACAAAACGAACTTGAGCAGAAAAAGTGGTACATTCTTAGATTATGTGAAACCTTCCAGAAGAGAAAAGGCTAAACGCCACGCCAGGCCACGGGTTGTATCAGAAAAATTCTGCCGAGCCTGGGCAAGGAGGAGTAGCTTTTCTTGTAAATAAAAGACTGAGACATCTGATAACTGAACTGACACGGTGATCTACATGACAGATAGAGATACAGTATCCAATTCATCAACGGATAGGCCCCCATAAGCCAGCCAAACGATGTAAGACAGGGAAGATCAACAGGAATAAACAGCCTTCATGGTCTTAAATACTAACCAATTATTCATGCAAAATAATCGGCCAGCGCCTTTAAAACTTAGAAATGAAACAGTTGGCGTTGTCATCACTCCAAATGGACCAACGGACATTATTAAAGATTTCTGCGATTGCATTGTTATAATGCACAACAATTTTCTATCCTGAAAGTTCAAGTTATACCAGTTGAGTCCGAAAAGAACATCCGCAGTTCTTATACTTTGTAATGAAAGAAATGTAGTTTTGTAGCAAACATCAATGTTAAAAATGTATAAACCAGGCTTGGAAGTTGTTGCAGGTGATAATTTGTGCATACACACCTCTCAGCAAACATAAATGGTCCGTGGGACGTTCTATTTTGATCCCTGTTATCCCGCATGGGTTGATCCTTGGTAGGATGTCTCTAGACCGCCCCTCGCATCGCACAAATATCTCGTGCAGATCCCATGCGCGTCGTCCCAGGAGCGGTCTATTTTTTGCTCCCAGGGACGTAATGAACAGGACGTATATGTAGTAATAGTAATTAGCGCGCTCGAAAAAGTTATATATTATTGTGTTACTACAGACAAAGTAAGTAGCTAAATTATACTTTTATCACTTTCATGTATGATCTTCGTTTATATGTATAAAAGTATGCTAAATTTCCATGCTTTCGAACGTAAAGCCATGTCCAAAACGCCTAAAAATTGAGCAAAATCTTAAATCACCGTTAAATAAATGAAAGAACAAGTACATTATTAAATAGTTTACAGTGTTCTTATGAGGTCAGCATTCTAATGAGGGCCTTAAGAATCTGATTTTGCCTAACGCTTGCTGTGATCCGAATAGACTTAGTGAACAAGTTCTAACATCGGTGGCGAGGCCTAAAGTAGAAGCTGTCCAAGAACCTTTAGTTGGACTTAAAAATGATAAAATATATCTCGTTTTTATTACAGATGTCTTGCTAAAAATCCGCTGTTTATACCACGAAGAAAAGGCATTAAAATTGAAACTCAAAATTGGCTCAGGTACGCGCCGAAAAGACTGAAAAGGAAAACATTAACTTTACCTGTTTCAGTTAGAAGAGCATAGCAAAAATAAGTTTAGTTTGATACCATGCGTAAACGCTTTTTGTTTGTTTTGAAATATAGGTAGGTATATGTTATGGGTTCAGTATGTTGTTTCTTCTAAAGTGCTTCCACTCTAAATTTTCTTAATAATAAAGCTACCTTCAACGTTTTTAGAAAGTTTTTTTTTACTTTATACATATTTGTTCCTAGCAATAACTTGACGGTTGGCTAATTAACCTAAGAACGTTTCACAGATGTTCTCTAAGCAACCCGTCTATAATCCCCGTAATATCCCAAATGAGCTTTACAGGAACAGTCCCAAAAGTATGTCCCATGAACGGCCCACGTAAATATGGGGACGTACCGGGACGTCCGAGGGACTTAGGCCTATACCCTGTAAGGACTTCCGTGGGATGTCTCAGGGAGCGGGGTGTGTTTGCTGGGCTGAAATTTGATCTCTTTTGCCAGCCATCTCAAAGCGAAAACTTGCCTGACTAAAACGGTAAAGTCGGACAGAATAAATAGAAAATCTCTTCCAGTTTGGACGTAGAAAGTTGTTTATTTGTTACTTCGATTTTCTAGGTTTCACGCGATAAATTGATGGTACTGTTGGATTTTTTAATTGGTTCAAGTTGTCGAATAAGTTCAAGATTCCATCAGTATTTCCAAATATTGTTTTTTGTTATAAAAGCGACTAACTGGCAAATTGGGAGGCAACTGAAATAAAATTGATGCAGTTTACAAGAAACTCCACAAATACCACGTACTTAGTTGAATTACTTAGGTTCTTGCCAAATTTGAAAAATGATTAAATTAATAATTAGCTCTTTTAGCTCTATTTTTTTATATCGTATTTACTTTGGCTAGACACAAAACAGAAAAAAATATCCGGGATGTCCTATCAAAATTTAGCACATTCTAAATAGGGATAGTTTTTAAATCCACTTCTCATCAAAATAAGAACACATTGATTGATTTCTGTTTGGAGCGTTATTTCTATAAACGTCCCATACTGATATATGAATAGTGTATGTCTTAAACACACAGGCCATCATTTGTAGCGGAGAAATTAGCTATAAAATATTTTTTATTTATGTGGGAAAAAAATCGATATTTTTCAGGTCTCCATTTAAAATGTCTCTCTTTACATATATGCTGTTTCATACTTTATAATATCCCTGTGGATCTCACTTAAGAGTTCTAATCTTCTAGGTTCTGCTTTTATTTGATTCATTTATATTTTTAAATTATTTTGTGTATTTGAATGATTGAATTGTATCTCGCCAGTCAATATAGTCGATGTCTCATATTTTTGTAGTTGTAGGAAAAGTTTTTTGCACTTTTTGCAGACGAATACCGGAAAGGTGTGCAAATAAATGCATACGGTCCACCTTTTTCTTTTATTTCTGTCTTTAACTGTGCATTCATTTAATTAAAAATTCGCTTTCAACTCGTCGCAAAATCATATATTGCAGCCAACCTCGGTGATCGCCGGAATCTCGCGGGAACGGCAACACTAGAGGGTGGGACGAACGGGAGTGTTAACATCGCTGCTACTTCATAGCAGGAACACTAGATGGCGCGGCGGTACTTCCGGGCAATGGCTGGCCGTTTTCCAGGGATTCTTCGATAATCATTGATTGATTGAGATTGTGCCAAGAAAACAAGCGTTAGTTGAATTGCTCAATCTTCGATTGTATACGTTTGCGAATTAAACCTAACAATATCGAAAGTGGAATTAGTAGACTCGCGGCGTAGGACGAGTGACCGTTTTTGGTGCAAATAATGCACCACGGGTGCATTATTTGCTCATAATAAGTGAAGTTTTGGTGCGGCGAACAATCTCGAATGACGATCGGCAAGGGTGATGATCAGGATATGGAGGATATTCTGGATTGTGAGCTAGAAGAGGGGGAGACTGGCTCTAATTCAGGCGATAGCGTGACCTCCAAGGCGGTCAAAACGGCAATTTTGGAGCACTAAAGCGGCCGAATTAGGCTAGCTCGTGGGGCGTGCCGTGGTCCCCTCAGATTAAAGAGATGCATTTCTTTACATTTTTCTATGGGAGCAATATTGGTTCACAGTCTATACAAAAGTAGGTACCTACGGGGCTGATTTGCCGGCTCGGTATTCAATTTGATATATATGAGTGGCATCAACAAGAAAATAGCAGGAAAACGATAGCCTTGAATATATTTAATGTTATATTTGCTTAGTTTGTAATAAGCGACAAGCAAATGTCATTAAAATAACAGCGTCGAAATTTTATATTTAAAAATTCATACGAATTTTTGGTGGTAATTACCAGAAAACATAATGAAACATTCATCATGACAACACCGCAAAGGGGGTAAAGGTACATGATAGTGACATGATA